GCCTAGACACCCTTTACTAAAATCAATGGATATTGGAAGAGAATTTGATTTAATATTCGAAGACTTATCTACCTGTGAGTTTCTGCTTGTCACAGAAGGCAAACTGGTTAATGTAGATTCATTCATTCCCAAATTGGAGTTTTCATTTCTGTTGATTAATGATGAAGGCCTAAAGGAACCAGGCACAGAAATCATGGTTCCATAGAAAGCTTTAGATTCCCAGTTGTCCATTTTCTTTCCAGAGACATTGTCAAAGTCTTGCAGTTCAGATTTGGGAGTTTTGGTTTCAGAAGGAAGTGAAATTACATAGTTTTTGGGCAAGGAATTAGATTTCAAATAAGGTGCAAGGAATTCATGGTTGTTTGAAAATTTAAGGATGCCAGTTTTCACCTGTGGTCCAAAAATGATACTTTTCCTCTGAAATTTACCAAGGATGTCATTGTTATGTTTAGTTTCATTAATCATGGAACTTATGATGCCAAGGCCTACTTTACTGTCATCAAACTGTTTCTTATGACCAGTTTGAAATGATGGTCTACAAGACTTGATACTAAAAGGGCTGCTAAGATTTGAGAAGAGTCTGCAGTCAAGAGGAGATGTAGGGCTCCAAACAGATTCAGAATCTGGCAACCCTTTAGCACCAAACCCCAACCTAGAACCAAAGGTATTGAAATTTGAGAAACTCATTTGTCTTAATGCATCACATGGTAAAGAGAAATTGGAAGAAGAATCAGCCATGAGATTAAAAGTCTTCCAAATATGAGCCTTTCCCTTCTTCCGCATTATCCTAGTAGTAGTACCCCATTCCTCTCAAAAGGAAGAAACCATCATTTCCATTCTGCATCAAATTCAAAAAGCTAAAGAAACAGCAATGTATCAATTCCCAGACAACAGGAATCACGACCAAAGTTCACAACAACTCATCGCATACAAAAATTGCTAGTTTATTTAGCCATTCAAAGAACTTTTTCAGAGTACGGAGATAGATATTATCAGAGGAATGGAACTTTCAAATTTTGACACAGATTAGGAGTATAGTTCGTACAAAATATTAGTAAGTGGCTAAAAAGATAGCCACAAAAAGAAAAGAAATCCGCAAACAGTTGATATCAAGGTGAGTAGTCATTTCCATTCCAAATAAACGTGAAATTTGCTGCAGAAAGAGCGATACGAGAATCGAAATTTCCTGAAGTGGTAAATTTTGAATGGCAAATCTGCCGAGAATTTTAGCAACTTATCAAATAAAAGCTTCTCCAACAACATTCTCGATAACATAACACTTCGAAACAAATTAGGAACAAACAAATTAATGAACAACATTGATGATCGGATTTAGAAAATTGAAAAAAAAACTGTAACTCATACAATTTGGAAGTTGCGAGCCAAGAAAACAAGTCAGATACGCAGATGATACCTCATACAAACACATTAAAGTACAACTGATAAGAAGACAATAAAATATCCAGCTTGTGATTGCACAAGATCACTATTTTTCTTTTTAAAAGGAAAAAAAGTTCATCAAACGCTCAGAAATCAACAGTTAATAAGTTTATACAGAATCTGATTATCTCCCACGGCAAAGTCTAATCGAGCAATCCGAAAAAGCACGAAAAGGGTATCTGATTATTATAAAAAACAAAAACAAAAAATCATAAAGAACCTCTAAACATTGTTTAATGAACTCCGAAACCACTAAACATTTTGGAAACAAGAAGAAAATAAATCCCAGAGTGCATCGATTGGTGAGAAATGAAAGCAGAGAAATTTACCGTAAAGAAACCTACTTTTATTTAATCTGAGGGAAACCCAAATGCTGAAAACTTGCAGAGATGAACATCAGCAGCAAAGATCAAACCTTTTGTTTACACTTACGTAACCCTCTTCACATTCTTCTCTTTACACTTGATAAATTTTTTTTTTTTTAGTTTTCACCGTCTTCTTCCACCTACATCTTCATGCATCAAAGTCAGAGAGACAGTGAACTCACTGAGTCTTCCGATGTACGACACTCTCTCTCTTTCTCTTTCTCTTCTCACTCTCATCATTGAGAGCTACAATACAAAATACAAAAAATACACAAATACGTATTATCCCTGTACCGAGTATTGTATAAAATATATACACTGTCATTTTATTTTCTATATTTTATCTTTGTTTGTAATTCTTTTAAATTTTAATTATATGATATCCTTTAACTAGCTGTATGTTAAAAAAAAATCAAATAACCTGTTTAAATAGTGCTACTAATATTGTAATATAACATAATCAAGTAATATATTTAAAGTAAACTAAGATCTATAAAATAAAATATATAACATCAATCTGTTTGGAAAAAAATTATTAATTTCAAACCACTGCAAAATAAATAATACTTTTAAAAACTTAAAACTAAAATTCACATAAATTGTAAATATTAAAAACAACAAAAATAAATTTTACGAACAAAAAATATAAATATATAAATATAAAATCAAAACTTGCCTGTTCTACTTAAAGTAAAAACATATCTAACGTATATTTATATAAATTTCCCTTGTAAGTATTTATTATATAATTAAAACTATCACAGCTGTTTCTTGTTTTGTTCCAGATGACTATTAAAATTGTTAGTGAAGAAGTTGGACTCTAACATTATGTACACCTAAATTTCAGATTTTAATATTTAATATAATTTTATATTCGCAAAAATAATTTAGCTTTAATAATTAATCTAAAATAATTTCATATTTAGTTATATAATATAACTAACATAATCTTTTTATAACTTAGAATTAAATATATTTTTAACCTATCACACATTACATCAAATTAAAATTAGTTTTTTTTTTCCAAATTTTGACGTATTTTCATATTAAACTTTGATGTGTTAAACAAAATTTTAAATTAATATTTAAAATACCATTTAACATGTAAAAAATTGATTGGATTAAAAAAGTTATACTCATTAAGCTTTTCTTTAAAATTTAGGACAAAAGATTAACAAAAGTGTGAAAGATAAACGAATTCAATTTTTTTATCTCACTCAACATTTAAAAATTAACATATTTAATCTTAAAAATAAATTTCATTATTCACACTAAATGAAAATTTAAAATATATACTTTTAATAATAAAATTTAACATATACGAAAAATGGTATGAAATATTATGATTTATTTACTAAATTAAATATATATTTCTTAAATTTTAAATAAAAATTGTATTTTATTTTTATCATAAATATTATATCAATTTTATCCATAAACTTTACAAATAAATGAATGTCGTCCACAACTATAATGATAATTTTCTTTATTATTGTAAAAATAGAAATGTGATTCTTACTTGTCTTTCATTTATATATTTTTGTGTCTTTATTGTTCAATAATTATTATAGAAGACAACGTGGTAAAATATTTTAAATTATACATTCATTCATAAAGATTGAAAATACAATTATATAAAATTTTTGACAAAACAAAACATTAGTCTCAATCTAAAATTTAGAAACTGAAAACAGCATTAATAATATATATATATATATATATATATATATATATATAATTATAATAAGGATAAATCTCTTTTTCTTTACATAATGTAAAATGAGTTGAAAATTTAGTATTTATTTACAATAAGTTTTTTTTTAAGTAAGTTTGTCGATTAGTCATACTCCTTTTTTATTTAAAAATAAAAATCTAAATAATTTTTAATTGTTAATATTTTTTATCAATAAGATAAAAATTACTATTATGGAAATAGATTGCATAAATTAATCTAGAAGGTAAATATCGTGAAACTAATAGAAAATACTTCAAATACTTATACACATTACTTGTAAGTATATAAGAAAATTACTTGCTTTATATTAATACGAATTCCTGATAGTTTGCAATATACACACAAAAAGAGAAAAAATTGAAAATGAAAAAACCACAATGTATAATCGATTATATTAAAAAAGATAAATAATTTTATTATAAATATTTCAATAATACTTTTATACGTAACATATAACATAATTTTAATACAAATGTTTATATCACAAATATTTCACTAATATTCATATCTTTAATAATAATAATAATAATAATAATAATAATAATAATAATAATAGTAAATAATATATCCAAGTAATATTATCAATAGTGTTTTCTTTTTCTTTTTCACTCTTTTTTATTTAATCAAAGTAATTTTACCTTATCCAATTTTTACTTGTTTCCTTTTATCTTTCTTTACTTTTTGTTTTATTCCTTCTCTTCTTATTCTCTGTCAAAAAACCAAAACATTACTATGCAGTTCCTCCCCGATTCAATGTTTGGATGAGACAAATGAAATATATTACTAAATGTAAAATTTAATTTTACTCATAAATTAAAAAAATTTAAAAAAATAAAATGAGCAACGAAAATTAAAAAAATATGGATTATTTGAAAATATATCGAAAAATGATTTTAACGTGATAATGTGGTGTGATGAAAATTTCAAAATCACATGCTCAGAAAATACTGCAATTAATTGGTTTTAATTTAATTTTGAAAATAAAAAGACAACAGCGCGAAATTGGTTTGAATGATAAGTAAAATACATTTCAATTGTAGAATATTGATTTGAAAAGGATTTAAAATTTAGATTAACAGCACTAAGATTAAAATAAAAAAATGAAATAATGCTTTAATAAAAAATAAGAGAAAAGAAAGGCGACATTTTTCACATTTTATTTCTGTCAAATATTATTAGCTATGACCCTTTATATATATTTATCAAATACACAAATATTGGAAAGCTAATTTCATCATTTTTATTTTTAATATTATTTTTATAATTACTTTATTTTAATAATAAAAAATATTTTTATTTATTTTACTGTTTTTAAAATAAAACACTTTTAATTTTAAATTTTGAATGAAGTCATGTACGAAGCATGACGTGTTGGAAAGTGAATCGAGATTTTTGGTTTACAATGCGTCAAAATGTGATAGAAAAATAATACAAACTAAAATTAAATATAAAATGAATGTGTTAACCAGGGCACGCACCCGGCTCACGTTAGCAAAGAGCACCTTCTATCTCTGTGGAACTTGTGATGGTGCTTTGTCAATTGACAGTTTCTTTTCTTTCAGTCTGTTTGCAATTTCACACTTTTCATTTCCCTGAAATTTCGTTCTCTCAGGTATGAAACACCAATCACAATCTTCTCATGTTTGATGCTATTGCTTTTATCTCATGAAATTCAACGAGAATTGGATGCACATCTGCTTCAATTATTTTTCCTAAATTCTGTTTATTCCACACATACATGGAAGAAAGATAATTGTGAATAAATTCAGGGTCATGCAATTCATTTTAATTGGAATAGGATATTACACTGTACTCAAAGAGGGGTTGTTGAATGGTTGGTTGAGGGAGATAGAGAGAGAGATAGTTGTAGTTTTGTAGCTTTAGTTTCCTACCAAAATTCTGTTTCTGAATGGATGGCATTGAGGATGATGCGAGCTATCACCCTAACCCATATCGCATCATCAGTCAACAACGAGGTTATGGTTATCAGAATTCTCCATATTCCCTCCCTGTTAATACTGAATATGCCCATCATCATGATGAAGATGAAGAACAAGAACAGTTAGAAGGAGATGATGAGGTTGATCAAAGTAACAGCCTTCAGCTTCCCCAAAAGGATGGGGATGAAGAAAATGGCATAGATGGGGTTGGTGATGAAAACGAGGATGAGGAAGAGGAGGTAGAGGATGATAAGCAGATTGGTTATTATGCCATTAAGAGTGAAGATGATTTGGAGTGGCCTCCAAAGAAGCAAAAGCTGAAGAGTTTGATTTCAACCTATGAACTTGCTTCTCGTGTGACAGCGCCATCAGCTGCAACTCCAGTTCCTTCTGCTCCCAAACCATCTTCTGGGGGTAGGAATTCACTTACTGACTGGACTGAGCATGAGACGTTTGTTCTGCTCGATGCATGGGGTGATACGTTTCTTCAACTTGGAAGGAAGAGTCTTCGATGTGAGGAATGGCAGCAAGTATCGAAAATGGTAGCACAAGTTTCAAAAATTGAAAGGACGGATACTCAGTGTAGAAACCGCCTTGACACACTGAAGAAAAAATACAAGAAGGAGAAGGCTAAATTTCAAGAGAGTGATGGTGGAGATTGCAAATGGGTTTATTTTAAAAGAATGGATGAGCTAATGAGTTCACCCCCTCAACAAGTTGGTATCTCTTGTGGTTTGGACTCGGGAGATTATGTTTTTATGAACCGTGGAGTTTATTTGAATCAAGCTAATGGGTTGGATGAATTGAGGGATAGTCCTGAGAATGTGGAATCTACCGGTGAAGAAGGTTCAGATGGACTTCAACTTCAAGCAAAGAAAAGGAAAGGAAGGAGCAGTGGCGAAGCTTCTTCCTTCAGGTTGCTTGCTGATTCCATACAAAAATTCAGTAGGATATATGAAAAGATAGAAAATAATAAAAGGCAGCAGATGATGGAACTGGAAAAAATGAGAATGGATTTCCATAAGGAATTGGAAACACAGAAGAGGCAGATATTAGGGAATTTGCAGAGTGAGATATCAAAACTAGAGCAGAGAAATGATGAGAACGAAGATTCTGCTGAGAATGGTATGTGAAATATTATGCATTATAGTTGTCATTGCTGTGTAAGATATCATATTTGAAGCATTTTGACCCTTCTTTCCAGCAATACTGCATTGTACTACAATTAGAACCGGATGGCCCAACCATGACATTGTATCCATATTCAAAACTGTACTCAATGCCTGTCTGGTCTATTTCTTAACTTTTACATTTTTCAAATTCATGAATAATATTCGATGATATGAATTACCTACTAAACGAGTTGGCATTTTTTATTTATAGGTTTACCTCACATTAAAGAAAACATAGATTGTTCATTTATGATTATTTAACATGTTATCAATTACAGTTTATTCTGTATCAAATCTTGTAGAAGATATCGACAAATAGATTCGTTTCCAACTTTATTCCCAAGTTTAGATGAATAATGTTTCTGCAGTTTTATAATCCATGTGGTTTTCATGTCAAACCCTCAATCCATCACTGTAATGATCACGTGAAAAGGGTCAAGTTCCTTTAATTTGTAAGGGTCAACAATCTATTAGCCATAGAGTAAGGATTCTATATTCAGATCCATATTCAGATAACTTCATGTAGTTTTACATTGTTTCTTTTTATGACATAAATCTTTGTGAAATGTATGACATCAAATCACTCTACCATCCCCCAATAGTTCGAATTTAAATTGAAGAAAAAGTAATGTTTTGTTCGATAACTTTTTTTGGGATGGAGAAGTACATTGATATGTCTGGTTCCAGGTTTGACTTGAAGTAATTTTCAGCCCAAAAAATGGAGTGTTACACACAACCTTAAGGTCAAGCAAAGAGTCTTAGGTCTTAAATTTTAACTTATCCAAGAACATATGTCAAACCTATATAAGGTTTGACATATGCATACTGATACATTTTAGTTGGGGGCATCCTTTGGACAGGGAAAGGACATTAGAAAGCTACTATCAAATGAAAAAATAATTTGCTACATCGACAAAAACTTCTGTCCACCATTTCTTTGACAGGTAATGTGTGATAACTACTCAATTTGGACCATATGAAAGAAGTTACGATGAGAACATGACTTGCAAAGAAGAAAAATTGATTTGACCAAGTGACACGGACCACCTAACTTATGTCTGTTATGAAAAGAAAACCCAAACGGAAAGTTTAAAGAAAAGCATGCTCTGAAATATATAATTGACACACACATGTTCTGAAGATTATTGTATGGTTATAGTTCATCATAATACTTTTGGACCACCATTAATTTTATTTTACATGGACTCCATATACAATCAAATTATAATATATAACAGGTCTAAACCTGAGTTTATAACCAGTCTTATATGGTTAAAAGTGCAAATTCGGTCTTTTAGTATGATATGAGAGTTCATGTTACAGAGATTCACTTTTTGGCGTGGGAAGTTGTGTTGAATATCTACCATAACATAATATATAAAGTAAAGACAAATCCAGTAATTTAAAGAATTGCTGAGTTTATAAAGATATACATCTCATTTTTTTATTAGATGTTATTATTTCAATTTACTTTGTAGATTTTGTTTTTTCCAAGAGGCTCTCACTTCTCGCCTCAATTTGATCACCAGTGTCCTCTTAGTTGTTTTCATGGATTCCTCTGATTGACACTCATACACAGAAGTCGTAAAGAAAAAGGTCAAGTTGAACTACTTTTCTATATTTTTCATCCCTATTAAGAGTGAACATAAAGGGAAAGGAACCATAGCATTTCAAATCCAAGAGGGGAAAGGGTTTATAGCTGTCTTAAAAAGTTTATTATTATTCTCTTTCTCTCCCAACCAAGTCCTACCTCCACTGTTAGCCTTATAACCATGTGGCATGTTGTGCTAGCTTTTATTTGTAACAAGTTTGTACATGGATGTTATACCTTATTCTGGAAAATATGAAATTGGTGTTTTAGGCATTATTCAAGCCATCATTCAACTTCTTGAAAAAGGTTATCGTTTTTTTATTTTTATTGCTAACGAAGCTTAAATGTATATACAGAATAATCATGTTTCTCAGTGCTACTTATCTAAGCAAGTCGGAAGTTTCAACGTCATGGAATTTCTGTTCAACTTACGTGTTTTTCTCAAGTTTTGATAAGGTTAGACTGGAATGCAACTTTATAAAAGTTAACTCCTTACATGTTAATTTTCAAAATTTTTAAAAACATGTTAAAATGTTAATTTTAGTGAAGCACTAGATATTGATGCTGCAAAATACACCATTTTCATAAAGCTATTTGGTGTAACATTACGAGTACATTTGGTCAAATTTCTAGTTTTTTTTTAAATGAAAAGCTTATATAAACTAATTTTTATTTATAAAAAAGTAAATTTCATTTTTTTCTACGTCTTTCACTAATCAGAAAAACTCTAAATACGCTAAGGATGTAAGTCAGGATAACTTGTGTATGTTACTATTCTTAAGGCGGATAATAGAATAAGTGTTGATAACCAAAAAACAAAACTGTGTCCTTGCATATTTGTAAGCTCTAAATACAAGTTTAACACTCTACAACCGAAATTGTATTAAAAAGCTTCATCAACAGCACGCCTCCTCTGTACTAGAATTTTTTTCAACTTCAATATCATAACAAACCAAATAAGATGTTATATAGAAGCTGGAAAAAAAATGTCGTGTATCACTTGTTCACTGCTAACATAAACGTCATGGTTGCATTCTATTTATATATACCAAAAACAGAAAGTACAGTGAATATGATAGTTGCAAGAATATGGATAGAAACTGTGCAAATTTTTGTCAAATAAAGAATTAAGCAGAACTCAATTGTTCTTCAATTACCCACACAAAAAATATGTAAAATAATCTGTTGCTATTTGTATCATTACTCAATAAAATGACATGTAAATAAACTGTTTTTGGATGTGCTACTACTCAAAATAAAGAGTTACACTATCCATACAACAATTTCCTATAGCACGTTATAAACTACTTCTTTTTCTATTTATCTTCCATCCTTATCTCCCTATTGATGGTTAAAAGAATTGCAAGCCATTGTTTGATAAAAAAACTGACATATACAAAATTATTACAGCTTAAGAGGTCAGGGCAACTAATTAATGCAATAAAAAATTCCTTTTTCAGATTGAAATGGACTAACTTTCCAAGGTTTCTAAACAATATATAAGGGATTTTCTACAATATTGATTTTCTTCAGTGAATGTTCCAAACCACTTAACTTGAAAAAAATCCGTTCCTCACTTCAAAATCATTAATGCAATTCAAGGTTTGTTAATAATCGTTATCACTCAAAAAGGTGGTACCAGATGGCTCTTATGACTCCACCATTTTACAATCATCAACCTTACCGACTGCCTCGAGTATTGAAGAGTAGGTGATGAGGTCGTACTGAAATCCTTTTGAACTCATTTCTTGCATAAGTTTTGCAGCCTCTTCGAACAGACCTGCTCTGCTAAGACAACCAAGAACGGTGTTGTAAGAAACCCCATCTGGCTTAATAGTCGAGTTCTTCATTTTCGTAAACATTTCCAAAGCACGCTTTGGGCCACCAGTTCTAGCCAAGCCATTCAGGATAATATTATGAGAATTTATATCTGGGGTGCAACCATTTTCTTCCATAGTTCTAAACAAGGAGAAAGCTTCGTCCACCCTTTCAGCCCTTACCATTCCAGTCATGAGAGCATTATAAGCGTAAACATCAGGGGTGGATCCAAGTTTTTTCATCTCGTTAAAAAGATTGATAGCTTCATTGAGTCTCCCACATTTTCCAAAATGCTTAATCATTACAGCATACACACGAGCACTTGAACATCCACAGTTCTCCTTCAATTCCTGGAATAGCTCATTTGCAACATCATAGCGCTTTGCTACTCCGAGGGTGTTGATCAGGCTGCAGTAGGCAGCAGGACAAGGTGGAAAGCCTTTCTCATCCATTTCCTCGAGAAGCAACAACGCCTTCTCAACTCGATTTGTTTTGCAGAAACCATCAATGAGAATTGAATAAGTAAATGAGCTGGGGACTATTCCATCTTTCTTCAACCTCTCAAACCATGAAGAAGCTTCAGAAGGTGGTGCTTTGGCTTCGAATAAAGATTTGATGATGGTATTATATGTGACAACATTTGGAGCACAATTCAGCAATTTCATTTCATCAAAAAGCTTAATGGCATCTCTTAGACGATCAGATCTTCCCAAAATATTAATCAAATTGTTCATCAGAATGACATCAGGTTTACAACCATCTTTCAGCATCTTCTTGTATATCATGTAGGCTTCTTCAACCCTCCCAGACTTCCCCAGCCCTCTTATCAATTCTGTGTAAGTAAAGACAGTTGGGAGACACCGACTCACTCTCATCTCCTTGACCAGGCCCAATGCTTCTTCAACCCTACCCAACTTAAAGTATATTCCCATTAAAGTTGTATATATTTTCGCTGTGGGCTGCAGTCCATTTTCCTTCATCTCATCAAATAATCTAATGGCAAAGTCATCACGATTTAGTTTAGCAAATGTTGATATAAGTGCACTGTATGTAACAGTGTCAGGGAAACAATGGCCTTCGCTGCACATTTCATTATACAACTCATGGACCTTTTCATGATGCCCCTCTTGCATCAGCATCAAGATGACAGAGTTGTAAGTGCTCGCTGTGGGTCTGCACTTGCGACCCTTGACCTGGTAAAAGACAGATAATGCCCTGTTAACCATCTTGGTCCTGCCCAAGATCTTCACGATTTCGGACAATTCAGCAGGACCCATTGCACATGAACCCTTAACCATGTCTTGTATTGCCTTCCAAAGTTCACCGAACATCCTATGTTCATCCAAGCAGCGAATCAATGCCATGTAAGTGGTCGAATCATGTTCAAAACCCCTCCTCTTCCCAGCCCACTTAAAAAACTGAGTCTTGACAATAACCTCAACATCTACCTTTAGAATCTCGCGAACCAAGCGAGCATCAACCTTCAGTTTCAGCACTTCCAAGGCCTTTTCTGCATCAGGTCCCCATTTAAATATTTTCAAAATCCTAATGAATCGCTCATCCAATGTCCGAGAATAAGGTTCCTTCCTCGACACATATCTTCCTGTCACGGGAACGCTACGGTGGTCTCCTTCATGGGAATTAGGCAACCGAAACATTTGAACAATTTCATTTTCTGCTAGTTTAATCAAAACCACCCAAAATCAGATATAGTCAAAAGTTGCATTGCCATAATTCAAATCAAACAAACTCAGAATTTACAAATAATAATATCAAACAAAGAGAATAAAAACAAACATCAATTCAGTTGAGTGAGCGAGTGAGTAGAACCTGTTTGCTTTAATCTCTGAGAGAAAGGAGGAAAAGTTGATATTCCCCTCCTCGTTGCAGCAATGGATCCACCAAGCATCGTTGGATTTTCTTCAGCTATACGCTTCGCCAAAAAAATTTGCTTACCTGAAGCTGCACGAATTTTTCTCTCATTTTATTTTCTGCGACAAAGCATGAACTGCAGAAGGGATGCTTCAAAATTCAATATTCAATCAATGAGATTCGTAACCCATGCATGATATTGGCAACCTTCTCTTTCTTCTTTTCAACATAAAGTAGAATTGTGTTGAACCTGTTCATTTATCAACGGTACAGATTCTCTTCTTCATTTTCTCAGTTTTCACACTTCGCACGGTAGACGAAAGAAAATAGCAGAAAGAACAAAGAAAAATAACTAATAAGGCCTGCTTTCATCAAGTGTTATGGGCTTCTTATAACATTTGGATTGTTTCTCCCTACACCACACCACGTCACATTTCTCCCTGCACCCCCACATTTTGGAGTGCAACGGATTTCGAAAAAATACACAATTCAAGTCCGTCATATTAGGTTGACAAAAAAGCTTATTGGTATTTACACTCTACATTTATCACAAAGCATATCTAGTCTTTGTCTTTGAAATAAAAAATTATTTTCATCTTATATGTTTATATTTAATTGATATGAAAATTTTGTTGTATCTCATTTCATCATAAAACTGATATATTTGTATTATGTTCTTATAAATATTTTATTTTCTCTAATATCAAATATTAATAAAAGTTATAATTATATAAATATTAAATAAAACGATAAATAATAATTGGGAAAATATTAAATATTTATAAAAAAATAAATATTATGACCTTATTAATAAGTTACAAAGAAAAAAAATCATTTTAAGTTTGTATCAAAATAAAAACTTGACTAATTTTAGAAACTTCAAGTTTAATTTGGATAGGTAAAAGAAAATAAATTTGAAAATAAAAGAAATAGGAATATGTCAATTGACTTGATTTTTCTTTTTGTGAAGTGGAAGAAAAATTAATATCAAAATGTAATTTTATTCATACAATGGAATTTGATAAAATTGAAAATTATATGATTTCAATTTAAATCTGAAAAACAAGCCTGAGAGTTTTCATACTTTTTAATTATTTTGAACACAAAAGTTTTCAATTAAAAAGCTAAAAAAACACTCATGAATTTAACCAAATAGTTATATGTTACAATTAGAACACTTTAAACAAAACATTACTACGTATCTAATATAAAACGAATTCAGCACTTTCACACTAAAAAAGTTTAAGTAATTTGCCTATTTTACAATATTATCAATATAAATAAATTTTCAAATCGTGTACACTTAATATAATAATAAATTATATATAAAAAAATTATAAGAAATAACAATCGATGCTAATCACGTCATTTCAACGAGCATTATAGTAAATAATTTGATAATTTTATCCGTATAAGAACAGAAACCTGGTCCCCCCTAAACGCACCTCAGGTGCTTAGAGGCATTGCTCTAACCTAAATTGCAGAAAGAAATGCATGACACTCACAATACAAAATGGGGGAAAAATAAGTAAATTCGGAGCATTTAACTCAAAATGAAAACAGGCATTGTAATTCCACTTATAGAAAATGGTACACAAATAATCTAAAACCCTAGGGATCGTAAGAGTTTGACAAAAAAAAAACAGGCCCAAGACCATAATTCATTCACCCATTAACAAATTTTCCATCATCAACTCACCCATACCTACTTTTTCAGGCACAATTCATATTGTCGTACGTATCATAGAAAAAGATCATGGCAAAATCAACAACAAAAATTAAGCAGAGTCTGTGTTCTCTGACTTCTCAGTCTCCATTGGTTCGGCAGATGCTGGTGGTGGGGCCGGATTACCATTGTCACCTGCATTTTCATGACTGGTGGCATTAGGATTCTCCTGAGCTGGTGATTGTTGCGGCTGCTGTTGCTGTTCACTGCCCTGAGGAGGTGGGGTTGCTGGTGCTTCTGGAGTTGTTGGCTTTGGTGGGGGTGGCTTTGGTTTTGTCATAATTGGCTTACAGAACCTTTTATTATTGAAAGACAATCAGCAGTGTTAAGAAACAAAAGCCACAAACAAGAGACCAAAATCTTACGAACAAAAGTTAATACCTGTCAACAGCTTCGGCTTTCTTTCTTATGTCAGCTGACAAAAGTACAGGGGAGGCATATTTTGGAAGGGTATCCTGGTGATGCTTTTTCTCCCTGAGCCAGTTCTCAGCTTCCACACATTCATTTAAGACCTGCAAAAGCAAATCAAATGGAAAACACGTTCAGCTCTATGGCAAATAGGGAAAGTATGAATAAAAGAGAATCAGTAGCAACCAATTACCTTCTGTTTCTCACTGATGTCAATGTGATCAAATTTGGGATCACTTGACATTGCAACTTCTCTATAACTATTTATACAATAGACAAGTTGGTCAATTATTGAACCCCTCTCCGTGTATTCTTTGTAACGCTCTTCAATTGGATCTCCTTGCTGCAAGCAAGTAAATATCCAATTAGATTGTAAAAACTAAAACACAAATATATCTTTCTTCGCGACGTTTATGCATGTAATACTTTTGTTCACTGCATCCTTAGAAAGTACTCTAAAAAAACCAGGCCTTAAGAATACAATAATCGGCTAGGTTCAGATTTTTCACTCCCCGAAATTTCTTGCCTTTTTGAGCTCTTCTAGTTTGGCAATGTATACACCTTTAGTTTCATCTTCACCATCTTCATATAGCCAATCTTCCACCTCCTGAAGTTTAGTAGTGAATGCTTCTCTATCTGAATCAATGACAAACTCTTGGTATTTGTCATTAAGCTGAAAAGATAAGAAAAGATTATTTTAGTAACAATCAAATATTCCACATCAAATAACAAGAAAATCATGACAACTCAAACCTTGTTTCTCATGTCATAAACATAAGCCTCTACAGCATTTTTCTTGTCTTTTGTTTCCTCCATCACTCGATCTTGCAAAGCCATTTCAAACTCCTTCTCAACAGCTTTCTGAACATCCGTAGCTGACATTGCTCCATAAACTAACTCCGCCACAGGAACATTTATTTTCTTAATCTTTTTCTTTGGAGCCTCAGCCTGTTTCACGTAAAGGCAGTTCAATTACTACGTCAACAACTTGATTGATGCACATAATCCATAAGACATTTAATACTCAAGCTACAGGAACGGGACAAATTAGGTCACCTTTGGTTTATTTTCTTAGATTAATAAATTATTTTCATTATTTGGTTGAAAAGATTTGGACAAAAGAAACAAGAAAACAATATAGCTTTATAGGGATTATGACAAGTGTAAATGAAGAGATCAAAACAAACCAAATAATGTCGTGCACCTTAACAAGGGGAAAAAATGAAATCGACTGATTATTGAAACTCAAACACAATGAAAAACCACAATTAATCCAAACAATGTCCAGAAAATTTAAGTTCACACTATTATCTCATACGTCAAATATACTATTTATAATAATTCATTTAAGGTCTAGTAATAAACCCCTAACTCTGATCCCAATTACCAATGGCATCTTATTTATTAGTATATTATTAGAAACAGCCTAGACAGGAAACCACAAAATAACATAAGATCTAAATATCAAAAATAGAAATATCACATCTAAAAATTTAACAATTACACAAGCATTCCAATCATATGCTTAAAATTTCCTTTGACCATTTACCTTGGTATCAGTATCCATTTGCACAGGCTTATCTCCTGCCTCAGAGGTACCATTTTCTGCTCCAGGGACATCAGCAGTTGCATTGGCATTAGCATCTTGCATGTTAACATCATTGTAATTGGTACTAGGTGGTGTGGCAGCACCAGCAGCAGGTTCATCAGTTTCCATCTTGGCATTTTCCCCAACTGATTCTTTGGAAACAGGAACCTCAGTTTCTTCCTCTTCCAAGAGCTTAAGAGAGAAAAATATGAAGTAAGAAACAGAGGCTATATGGTTTAATTCCATAATAATCTAACAGGCATAGAAATAATAAAAGCAAAAGCCAAAGCTAGAGGGAGGGACTCACAGTTGCAGATTCGATAGATACAATTCCATGTACATTCAGCCTAACTTTCACTTTAATTTTTGCTTTTTCACCTTTTGTTGATTGGAAAGGGCCAATCTGCATACATTTTAGTACACTTGGGAGTCAAACAACTGCCAAAAGAATGAGTTTCTGTGTGCACATAAATAAAACCTTAAAACAGACTTACAGTACATGTGCTGCTCTATGCAGATTTAAGTACACTTGGGAGTCAAATGACTACCAAAAGAACATGGTGTGTGTATTGCACGTAAATAAAAACTCAAAAACCAACTTACAGTGTATGTGCTGATCTTCGCTGGTGTTTGCAAACCACTCACATCATCATATTGAACATCAATAGAAAATGTTCCTTGCCTGTAGATTGTCAGTGCCTTGACACTTGGTATGGGATTTCCCTTGGGGAAGACAAGGGTACTTTGTTTACTATCTGGCCCACTTTCCTGTGCATCAGAGCTTGAACCTTTCCACGAGAGAGAAATTGAGAAAGGAAAGCTTTCATTGACCTTCACATCATGAAACAGAAGAGCAAAATTATATAAAATATAATAATAACGCATGTACAAACAATTCACCACACCAAAAACTACCAGTGGTCGAGTATAATTTACAATGAAATTCCAAATCATCAAATAATCTAATATAAAGGGAGATACCAAGAAAAATTGCAATTGAAAACACATAACATGTACCCAAAAAATAACAAACAAATGCTCAAAACATGACTCTAAAACATGACTCAAGAGATCTAAACAGTCTTGCATTGATAAATTTTGAAACATTGTAAAAGGGGCTTTTGAAGCAGAGAACAATACAAGCAAGAAGAAAATTACCTGAAACTCCCTCACTTTAAAAGTTGGACTGAGAATTGCACACTGCAATGCACAACCCCTGGCAACACACTCACTTGCATTCATTGTGCGCCTAGGCTCCTTTTTGAAAAACTCTGTCAATATTTTATTTATAGCTGGTACACGGGATCCAGAACCAACCACCTCGACCATGTGAACATTATCAACTGTAAGACCTGCCTCTGCAAGTGCCTTTTCCAATGGTCCCTTAACTCGTTCCAAAATAGGAAGACTTAGTTGCTCAAACTCATCACGCTTGATAAAGCCTCTGACATCCTTCTCATCCATCAAACACTCTATGTTTAAAGGTGCCTCTGGATTAGCACTAAGAACCTTCTTCAGCTTTTCACAAGCAGCCCTCAATCTTAGACAAGCCCTAGCATTTTGCAATACATCAATCTTGTAGTCCTCCTTAAACTTAGCAACAAAATGATGGAACAGAACCTCGTCAAAGTCCCTCCCACCTAGGGACCTGTCGAATGACTGGGACAACACTTTCAGCTGACCCTTTCTAAATCCAGCAATGCACACTTGCATGCTGGCATGTCCAACATCCACAAAGGCAACATTCAGCTGATCATTCTCAGGAAGATCAGTCTTATAAATTCCATAAGCCAATGCAGTTGCTGTTGTTTCATGAAATAGGCGAAGTGGGTGCAATCCTGCTATAGTGGCTGCATCCAAGACTGCCCTCCTCTGCAGATCAGTAAAATAAAGTGGAATGCCAATGCAACAATCAACAACAGCAGCATTCAGATTTTTCTCAGCTATTTCTTTAAGGTTTGATAACATCATTCCAAATACTTGGGTAGGAGTAAATGTTTTCACTTCACCCAAGTACCTTGCATGAATCAATGGATATCCATCAGGTCCTTCAGTGACAACAAAAGGGAAAGTCTTCAGATCTCGCTGCAATTCTGGATCTGCAAATTGTCTACCAATTAACCTCTTTATTTGTGAGATTGAATTCTTTGGATTCATCATAGTAGATGCAGCACCAGCTGTCCCAAGGAACCGCTGTTTGTCACCAAAGCATACAATTGCAGGTGTTTCTCGCTTGGACTCGTCATTGAGCACCACATCAATTCCCCTCTGTCTTGCAACAGCAACAATGCAGCTTTCATTACCAAAATCAAATCCAACCACGCTCATTTTTGCTTGATCTCTAAGCCCAAAAAACACCTGATGAAGGGAAACAAAATAAGTTCTGTGTCACACCAACATCTGAGTCATAGATTCTAATTTGTTACCCTAATAATAAATATGACTTCAAAAGAAAGGGAAAAAACATCAAACACAAGTTTTATCTTGTCTTGGCAATGCCTAGAGTACCCACTCATGCACTCCGCAGCAAGAGTAATCAGATGCAACAGTTCTTAAAACAAAGTTAAAAGTAATAACATAATATTCGGAACCGCAAGAGAAAAAAAAAACAACATTTTCAAAACATCATTTTGCATGGTATACTAAACTTTGGAGATCAAATCATTCGAACACTTTCCAACGAAACTGTAGTTTAACATTCATTAATTCAGATGAGAAGTGCAAAATAAAACTAAAAGACTTACAACAAAAAACTTTCTCTTAAATGAAAAGTTGGTAACAAATCTTAATTATAGAGAAAATGCATGAATATACCACCGAGAAGACACGGATCTATGACAAGAAGAGGCAAAAGGAACAGAAATCTAAGGGAAGACGAAATAGGGTTTACCAGAGGGAGCGATCGAAAAAGTGAGAAACAACGGAAAAAAGGGTTTTGAGAGGTTCTGGAACAATCTTAATAAAGGGGCCAAGAGACTCTTGAGTTAGTTTCGTCTGGGGGCCTCTGTGGAATTTTGGGTTTGTGTTTAGTATTTGTGTTTGTGACCTTTGCACTTGTTAAATTGCCAGTTTTGAACGAAACAAAGGACGTGCTCCACTCAATTGGTCCCAGAGATGTCTGGAGAATCCTCCCACCTTCTAGAAAATTCTACTACTCAGCATCTCTTCATGCTTCTTTTTGCTTTTTGCAACCCCTCAATTGGGCCTCTACACTGGGCCTTCGATAGTCTTCAAACTGGTCACAGTTAGTCCACTCAATTCTAAGAAAACAAAATATCTAAAACAATATTTAAATTGTTAAATTTAAATGAATTATTGATTTAATATTTCACAAACTCATACTGAAAATAAAAATAAAGATTCAAGAAATAAATTAAATTGTTGTTAAAAATTATATTTTAGTATAAATTAACTAATAAAATTGTAAAATTAATATGGATATCTTATTTTTGTTAATTAATAGATAAACATTATCTTTCATTCCAGACATGCATTATATCTCATGGTATACATCATGCTACTTGCAAAGTTTTGACCATAAATATAACATTTCATGGTAGCTTACATGTCTTGTAGGATTACAATTTTATACATCTTTAGTTTGTTTTTTTAGATATAAAATTGACTCGGATGATGGATAGGTTTATTCAAACATAAAAATAAAGTGTTTTAAAAAAAATCAAATATAAGTATTTTTTTATTAAGATGAAATTACTGTTACTTTTTTAAAACCGTTTACACAACTTATTTTCAAATTTTGTTTAAAAAAATATTTAAATAGGTATAAAAAATATAGTAGTAAATTTTCATTAAAAAGTGGTTTTTTCCAGTAAGAAAAAAAAAACGGAACAATGTTCCTATATGTGCATACGGGTGAATTTTCATAATTAAATAGAAATAGAAATAACATACATGAGTGAATACTTTGTTACTGAATTCTTAGTTTGTCAAAATAGATTTATAAGAGCTCATTATTTTGTTGTATTTCCTTTTTTATCTATTTGTTTTCCTTTTAATTTTTCTTCTTTTTACTTCTGGTACTGTTTAGATTTCATTTTTATTTTCATTATCTATTATAAGCTGTCATTGTTTTTCTTTTACTTTTTTTCTATTCAAATATAACATATTTTAAAATATGTTTGCATCTTGTAACCAAGAGGGTTCTCCATTTTACAATAAGAAATTTTAAGCATTCCATTTATTTTTTAAGTCGAAAAACTTTTGGAAAGTGAAAATTTGCTGGTCGAAAAAGTTACCTTAGACCATCTTAATTGATGAATTTTAAATATAGTTGTATTGTACAAATTTTAATATTACATTATTGTATTGTAATTCAGAGTAAAACTATTTGTATGAATTTGAAGTTGATTATTATATGAGTATTATATTTTTCAAACGCATGAGAATTTGAAGTTTATTTGAAGCATGTTGGTCTATTGTCATTGGTTACATGTAAAGTTTGAAACTATCATTTGTATGTTAAATCAAAGTTTTTCCTTACTATCAAATTAAGATTTTTTTTATATTCTTAAAAAATAAAGTAAAATTGTCTACTATGAGTCTACTACATACATAACACACTAGAGTTTAAAAAAATTAATGTTTTTGAACCCATGAACCTAAACATGTTTAAATGATAAACGTGGTAGTCTCTTGTAAAATTTGTTTAATATATATATATATATATATATATATATATATATATATATATATATATATATATTTTGTTGCAAGTTATCAATAGATACATTTTATTTTGTTTTTTTATACATGAATCCATATTTAATTTATAATATATGTGTATTTTTTTCATGTACATGGAGAAGTGATGATATATTAATTGATTTACAAATTTCTTTATTAATAATTCAATAAATACATGTTTTTTAACATTCAATATCAATTATTAGTTTTAAACACGGTATTAACTAATCATCTAATCAACATTAAAATGATTAATTTTCCATTTACCTAGTAAGTTATAAAAAATAGAATTTTGTTTAAACTTTTTAATTTCTTTGAAGTCGATTTATAAATAGACTTAAATATTATTTTATTGAGACATTTATTCACCTAAATTACAATGCTACCATCTATTATATTTATTTTTGATTTCTATGTTAACAAATATTATAACAATATTTGAGTTTATTTATGATTATGTTTTTATAGGAGTGAATGAATTTGAAGAAAAAAAAAAGAAAATAATTAATATTATTTCCTTAAGAATTTTGAAGTTAAAGTGAATAAATTTAAAAATAAATTTTATGAATTTTTTAAATAATTTAATAAATAAAAAATATTTTAATGAATTAAAATGTATAATTACAAATTTGTTTTTATAGTTAAATGGATATAAAATATAATGTCTTTAGTTAAGATGTGTCAATATTTTTAATAAAATTTTATATACTGACTATGTTTAATATTAATTTATTTAAAATTTGTTTAAAAATAAAATGTGAATGTAAATAATAAATTGCTAAAAAGGAACAAGAGTAGACGATTTTAAAATTAAAATATGTGATTCAGTTTCTATATACATTATTAATTTCGGTAAAATCACGAGCTAGATTAAATAATATTTTTCCTAGTTAATATTAAATTGAAAAAGTTTCAGGACTGTTCAAATGACCATTTTCTCAAATTATTTTTTTAAATAACTTTTTAAATCTTAACTCTAATTTATTATTATTGTTTAAAATAGGGGTGAGGCACCACTACGATACAACGTTTTTTAGCCTATTTGGAATGAGTTGGCGGGAAAATTATCTCATTACATGACTGTACTGGCGCCAGTGGCTTCTTTAGGGTTCATTGGCGTGTTAAAAGTTCAAACGAAACAAAGCTCGTGAGTAAAGTGTTTTCTGATTTTCTTGCTGGAATAGAGTGGATTCGAAGAAATGCCGACCTACAAGATAAGGGGAATCGACGTAGATTTTCCGTACGAAGCCTATGATTCCCAACTCGTTTACATGGACAAAGTCATTCAATCACTTCAGGAGGTAACGATTTAGAATACTTTTTTTTTTATTTAATTTCACAAATGTTGTGTTCGTTGGAGGTGATTTTGTTCGAGTCGGAGTTGGGTACTAAATATGGGTTCTTTTATCAATGGGGATTAAAATCTTGATTCACCATGTGGTAGAAGAGTTGCCCCTTCCGTAATCCCAACCGCGTTGGTAAAAATTTAGAATCTATTTCAGTGAGTTGTAATATCTTTTTTAATTACGGGAATATGAATTAAAATTGTTGCAAATTTGAATTGCCAATTGGCTAGAATAGCTGTGTCCTTGACATTGTATTTATAATCTTCCTTTGGAATAAATTGAAAGTGATCCGCAATGTTATTGTTATCACTTGATACTAGAGAATTTGATAATGACTTGGCTCTGTCATAGATTAGTATGTCTTAACATGATCCACGGTTTACCATCGAATCAAATGCTGTAGTATATTATAGCTTTTTGTTGAGGATACGAAGCACAACATCCGGGGAATAGATATGATTCAGCACAACAAATTTAAATATGATTTGACTCTGACAAAAATTCTTGGCCAAACATGAACATGGCTATAATATAATATTGTGGTGTTTTAATCAGTATTGGTATAAAAAGTTTCAAAAAAGGTCTGTATTGCGGTGCTGTATTCAGTGTTGATATTGTTCCTGCTAAAGCTAATGGAGCTACTAGCCGGAAATACTTAAACTGTAGTAACTGCTTTTACCTGAGCCTTTTCTCTATCTCTGGTTCTCTCCTGGGGCAATGGGTCACTCTATTATTTATAGCTGTAGATGCTAACTGCTCCATACATTTTGGTGAGTTTTTCGTGGTCTGCAAGTATGATCTGTTATCCTTATATTTTGCCATTATCTGATAGTGATATTATAAAGCGTTGGAAAAGCAAAATTTACGTCGTTATGTATCTGTCATGCCTTTGCAATATTTGATATGGATATCATATATAACTGCTACTATATAGAAGTTTTTGTGCCTTTTAGATTTGAAGTCATTATCTGCTGCTGTTTATCTCGGTTTCGCTTTCAAGTGCTCAATGTCTTGCTATTACGATTCACATATGGCATCTGTTTTTATCAGTTGTTTACCATTAAGACTGTGATTTTATTATTGACACTCAATGTATTGTTTTGTGTGCTTTGGCATGGCAGAAATGTAATGCACTATTGGAGAGTCCCACAGGAACTGGAAAAACTCTCTGTCTTCTTTGTGCTACCTTAGCATGGCGGAAGAGTTTGGGTAGTTTCACAACTGGTATGAGCACGCAAACTGGTGGCAAATCAGAGGGTAAAATTGAGGTGTCACTGTCACAATCCGAGTCCTCAACATTCTCTACAATTGTATATGCTTCACGCACTCACAGCCAAATCCGTCAAGTAATTCAAGAATTGAAAAGAACATCTTACAGGTCATTCTATATATTTAGGAAGATTTTTTTTTTGTATGGTTTTGCTGGTTATTGACTTGTCAATGTTGATGATGGTAATTGATTTTGTCAATGTCTTGTGAATTTACCATTCACTCGCACTTCCTCAGTTTTTATTTTCTATATCAAGTTGGTGATTGTGGTCCAGAGAAAAAAAGTGGATTCTCCGGACTATCATGATTGGTGTTTTGTGTGTACTATTTGTGCCGAACTAAATAAAGATTAAAAGTCTGCAGTTTTTATGATAATTGTATGTTGGGCCTAAGCTTACCTGATATTTATCAGTGTACAGGCCTAAGATGGGAGTGCTGGGATCTCGGGAGCAACTTTGCATTCATGATGAAGTGAAATTACTTCGGGGGAAAACACAAACAAATGCTTGCCGATCACTCTGTCGTCGAAAGCGTGGGAAGCACCACTGTAGCCATTTTCATAGAGTTGCGGGTAATTTAGGAAAACCATTGTTATAATTACGTACATGTGGACCTTATTTTTCATTATGCATTTATGTGTATGGGTAACCCATATCTAAAACTTAACATGTGGATTATTTGACTGAATGAATGTTCTCCTACACGTTCCATAATCACTTAGTATCACGGGTTGCCATAATTCAAATGACGAACAAGCAAAACATGCCAGATTTTATATTATTATTTATTTGATTATTTGTTATTCGTTATTAATATGTCATTTTTCCATTCTCACTTTGAAATTCTATGTTAACCTGCCTTAACTATGGACACCCTTAGCAATTTGTGGACTCATACTTTATTGTGATAGGTGTGTAGAAGTGGAAGTAGTCCCTCAGTAACTAGAAATAAGGCTTAAGCAGCGGTTATACAGCTTGGATGATCCGTAGCTCATAAGTTGTTTTTGTGGGGATTAAGTTAGATTCTAAGTCCAAATTCTAAAAGGCTATTTGTGTCTAACTTATTAATCCAAAGAGGAAGAATGATTTATCTGGTCCCCGAAATTGTATGATGGGTTCAAGTTAGTCCTTGAAAGTAGATTTTAAATTTCATATTCATCTTTCATTTTAGATAGGTCTTTGTAATACTACTATTGAAATGAAACTTAGTTAGTTTAAGATATCATTAAAATGCATTTTAGTCCATACATGCAGGGACTAATTGCATTTTAATGATACCATAGATGAGCCTTATTGAAATGAATGATGCATGTGAAAGACAAAAGTTGCTTTTAGTTTATTATCATTGAGGCATTGCTTTTAATACTGCACACGCTTTTATGGACCAAATAAATCATTCTCATGATATAATTTTTTCCCTCGTGGACTAGTTACTCTAAAGCTGAAATGATGTCATGTGTGTGTAAGAATAAGATATAATGTTTATGGAGGTTATTGAAATCTGCATATCATTTATAAATGATTTATTAAGTCACATCATTATGACTTATCTTAAGAATGTTGCTAAAATTTTATTGTAGATTACTTGAAGGACAATTCCCATCTTGGAGAAGAACCTGTAGATATCGAGGATTTGGTCAATATTGGTAGAACGTTTGGGCCGTATGTTTTCTCAGCTATGCTGACTGTAACCATAATTAATCATCTTAATGGGCAATTTCTTTTGCCTCCTTTTCCTTCTCTTCTCTCTCCAAGTCAACAATTCTGCCTTAATTTGTGTCTGCTTATTTCAGGTGTCCTTATTATTTATCAAAGGAGCTCCACAAGTTTGTTGATATAGTATTTGCTCCATATAATTATCTTATAGATCGTGGATATAGAAATTCTTTGCAACTTTCTTGGAACAATAGTGTACTCATATTTGATGAAGCTCACAATTTGGTAAGAAGACATTACAAATTTGTAAGAGATTAATATCTATGCATAGATCTTAGTTCCATTAAGTGTAACCTTCTTTGCTATGTTCGATGTTGTTCTTTCCATTGCTCTGCTATCATGTATTATTGAAATTTTTATCATGCTATTGTTACTACTTTCAGGATGCTGTGTTATTGAAATATATTCAAGCTATGTAATTTGCTTGTTATTTACTTGCAGGAAAGCATATGTGCTGATGCAGCCTCCTTTGATTTGCCTTCTTGGCTTCTAACTGCTTGTATTAAAGAGGCAGAAAGTTGTATTAACCTTTCTATAGAAAGAAGAGATAAAACAAACGATAAGTCACAAAATCCAGATGATTTTGCTATCCTTAGAGGTTAGCTTAATCTTACAGTATGCCAGTCCAAATTCCAATAATATCATGAGCATGCTTTTACTCATTTTATCAGCATTATTGAGAAAATAATATTTCATTATAAACCATGCTTGTTTTTATTGGATTTTTGGGTGCAACAATCAATTGCACGTACATGCTTTTTTCTTTTTAGATTCTGGTCTGGGTACTCCTAAAATAGTAAGCCATATATATTTTGGCATGTCACGTACACATTGATAATTTCTTTCTTGCAGCACTACTTCTAAAACTTGAAAAGCGTATTTCTGAGGTGCCTATTGAATCTAAGGAGTTAGGGTACACCAAGCCTGGACCTTATATCTATGAACTGCTAGCTGATCTTAACATAACACACAAAACTGCTTCTAAGCTAATCAGTACAATTGATGTAGCTTCAACCCTTATTGAGGAACATAATCAGCAGAAATCCACTGGCACGGTCTGCAGATTGGATAGAATAGGTGAAATTCTTGAAATTGTGTTCAGGGATGGAAGAACGTCACATGCTAAATGTTATCGTGTAAGTATTTGACTTTATTGTATTCAAGTTACGCATCACAGGATAGGTTTTTTTCTTTTTTTGTGTTGTCATTTTATGATAACTTTTTTTTGTTGTGGATTTTTGCATTTCTATGGATTATATCTTTAAGCTTTATTGCCCTTTACATAAAAGGTTCATGTGCGGGAGGTTGAAGCTTGGGCCGTCAATGACTCTAAAGGTAAATTGAGACTTCGTTGAATGAAGAGGATTTGTCAATATATTGAAATAATATTTTTTTAAATACACCCCATTTATTTTCCTCCGTCAACTTGGCTATCATGTCAATTACTAAATTTTCAAATATTTACTGTTTACTATAACTTTAAAGCTGGCCAGTTTTATTTAACATGTTAAGGAATGCTTGATAATTTATGTGTACTTATTCATTGTACAATTTGTGATTCTTTTGTGATAGTTTTATATTCAATTATTTTTTATCCATTATTGTTATGAAGTCCCACATCACTTGCCTCAATTGTTGAAGTGAGACTTATATATTTGTTGGGCAGCTTAGCTTAATGCCAATTGGTTTTAAGATGAATTTTGACATTATATCACGACCTATAACTCATCTTGGTAAATTTCCCTATTCTGATAGACTCACTTGTTTTGCTAGACATTTGTAGGAGTGTTGGGAAGTCCCACAATTCTTGGAGTGAGGCTAATATATTTTTCAGCAACTTCGCTTAATGGCAATTGGTTTTACGTTGACATTTGGCATTTATTATAATTGTACTTCATTAAATCATTCTTTAGTGAGACTCTGTTTATACAGATCATTGCTACTTTTTTTTTTTTTGGAAAAACCAATGCTTTTATATTTATTTTACAAAATATACTTTCTTCTTTAAAAGATATGGTTGTATCTGAAAAATTATAGCTTTTAGGCCAGGCCTTTTGCTTTATATTTTTTTTGGGGTGGGAATGTGAAGAGGAGTTGGATTTATAAGTTTAACACTGTTTGGTTACACGATACAAGTGATATGCACCTAGAGGTGTAAAGGTTTCTTGTTTAGCTTTAGTCTTTTGGTAAACGAAGCTGTTCCTTTCATTATACAGACAATCTAACATGTTTCCATTATATCTGACAGTGTTTAGTAACTTTATATGTTCCTGTCTCTTACATTCGCAATTATACTAATATGTGTTGTTGTTTTGATGCTGCAGGCAAGGTGTCAAGGACACTCAGCTGGTGGTGCTTTAATCCAGGAATAGCCATGGAAGACTTTCGTAATAAATACGGGGTTAGATCTATTATACTGACTTCGGGCACATTATCTCCCATGGAATCTTTTGCCGAGGAACTTAAGTTGTAAGTTCCCTTGTTGCTAATTGTGTTTTCATCAATGATATCTTGGCTGTCATTAACACAAAGTGTTGATTCTGGTAATCTCAGAGATTTCCCCATCCGGCTAGAAAATCCACATGTAATAACCCCAAATCAGATATGGGCAGGAGTTGTTCCAGTTGGGCCTTCAGGACATACTTTTAACTCCTCTTATCGCACTCGTGATTCACCAGAGTACAAGAAGGACCTTGGAAATGCAATTGGTATTTTACTTGTTTTTGCTGTACTGAATTCGGCAAAATGAAGTTTATTTAATATTTGTCTCACCATTTTAATAACTGCATGTCTAGTTTAAAAAAATGGAGTTGCACTGTTTTTTATCGTGAAAGCCTCATTAGCGAATGGAGCACTGCAGTTTTGTTATAGCATTCTTCTTTTATACTCAACCTATTTCAGATTTTGGAGTGCTTTAAAATCAACATTTTTTTGAGTCAAACATATTTAGTGTTCACATACAAACAGGGATTTTATTGGTTTGCAGTATGTGAATCACTCCTAGAAAGGTATGTGGTATAATTCAACACTACTTTAGAGATGTACTCCTGTAACCAATCTTGAAAAGAAATGTTGATTAAGTAGAATTTAAGTTGTCAATGTCATGATTTGATAGTTTATGCTCTTATCTAGTCACTGTCTTGGAGATAGATGTGGGATGTGGGTGTTTGAGGCAATGAGCATTGGTTTATTAGATTGGCATGAGAGGCATAATGGTAGCAAAATGAGGCCTAAGAGTGGAAACTCAATTAAGATTTCAAGAAAGTAATATTATAGAATTTGCATTCATGGGTTCATTTGTGTGGTTATAATTTCATAAAAACTGAAGAAAGTTCTATATCTCAGACCACGAGACCCCAGAGCCTACAGAATTTGGAATAAGTAGCTTGCATTGATATCATAATTTGAAGAAAAATCCCGATAGGCATTGCCATTAACTGTCCATAATTTCATTTCTCTACTGTATTCCAGTAAATTTGGCTCGAATTGTTCCTGACGGACTTCTTGTATTCTTCCCGTCGTATTACCTTTTGGACCAAACCATTGGTAGCTGGAAAAGTGTGGTAAGATTCATAGAGACCTAATGAAAAAGATAAATTTGCTTGGTCAAGCTTATGTTACATGGTTTTGAGGTTTGTTATTTTCAGAGTAATGAAAATTCAATGTCAATATGGGACAGAATTTGCAAACACAAGAAACCTGTTATAGAACCTAGGGAATCTTCATCATTTCCCTTGTCAATTAAGGTAACACCTTTATGTTATATAGTGAAAACACATTCTTACATAATAAGCATTTGGAGGCATCATATCCAAGATGGGCCTGACCTGACCTTTATGCTTCTCTGTACAGGACTACATGACTAAGTTGAATGACACCTCAACCTCTGGAGCAGTTTTTTTTGCCGTTTGTCGCGGGAAGGTACGACTTAATCATGAATGTAGAGAAGCATCCTTCTCATGTGTTCTCACAGGCATTCGTTTGTTATGGTATACAAGTACTGAAAGGTGTAGTGTACCTGTACTGTTATGTACAGGTATACTGTATGATAGGATACTGGGTGATAGGATACTGGGTGATAGGATAGAAGACGGGGAAACCGAATGGTAGGCAGGGGAGCCGAATAGTAGGAGGCAGGGGGAAGCAAGCCGAACGGAAGGCGGGGAAGAGCTAGAGCCGATCGGTTGAAGAAGTTACTATCCTAACTAGGATAGGCGGGAAATATTTGGTATAAGGGAAATATATTCTAGGGAAAGATTTTATTCTAGGGAAATATTTTATTTAGAACAATATTCATATTTTATTCTAGGGAAATATTTTATTTCGAACAATATTCATATTTTTTTTTAGGAAAATATTTTATTTAGAACAATATTCTAGGGAAAGATTTCGCACAAGATGAACGGAAAATAATTAGTATAAATAAAGCTAGAGGCTATTGTTAAGACATACTTTTGATTATGGAGTTTTGTTGACAGGCAGCTAGAGTCCTGTGAGGGAGGTTATGCTCCCAGTTATCTTTGTTTACTTTTGTTTATGTATATTACCATCAATAAAAGGGATTCATTAATCTATTATCATTCGTTCATTGTTTTGTTACGTGTTGTGAGTGTGTGAGAAGTTGTTTTGGTTAGGTTTCGTACTCAGGTACGTAACACTATAGGACCTAGGAGATATGGCAATATATTTGAAGACTCTGGGATAGAAGACCGTTTTTTGTATGATATTAAATTATTTAGTGACATTTATAATTAAGGGAGAAGGGTTCATAAAAGCCAAGCATTATCCTAGAAATTGTAATACATAGCCATAATGCCTCACTTAGATGCATTTGTGCCATTGGTTATTTTAACAGGTAAGTGAAGGATTAGATTTTGCTGATCATGCTGGAAGAGCTGTGGTAATTACTGGTTTACCATTTGCGACAAGTACTGATCCTAAGGTTTGATTATCTTTTGCCACTCCTAACTAGAAATAGTTCTCCAGGTATTGTCTATTAATTATGCATGTAAATGTGTTTGTCGTAAAACTTCACTTTAATCACTAACAGGTTCGATTAAAACGGGAATACCTAGATAAACAATCTCGGCCACAGGGAGAACTGTTTAAGGTTATGTTGGTTTACTTGCATAAATTTTGCACATATTAATGTAATATGTTTGTAAGTATTAACTATTTGTCTGGTACTTAAGCAGGTTTTAACTGGAGATGAATGGTATAACCAGCAAGCCTCCCGAGCTGTGAATCAAGCTGTTGGGCGTGTAATTCGCCATCGCCATGACTATGGAGCAATTATTCTCTGTGATGAAAGGTTTTTACCTTGAATTATTTTGGTCTAAATTTCAAAAGATGAGTTTTATTTTATTACTAATTCTTATTTTCTCTTTTATGTATTACTTCTTCAATGAAAAATATGACCAATTTTTTTATCACATAGATAATTTGCACTTCAGTGATTTGTTTTAGTCCCGACAAATTTCCATTGATGTTTTTTTGGGTGGCTCTGTTTCTCTCAAGCTATAAACTGAAGGAAGTATAAATGTAAATTTGTTAGTTTCATGATAATATGTTACGAACTACTTTTCATTTTATGAAAATTATCTGATATAAATTTCTCAATATATACATTAGTAATTCAAAAGCCAACTAATAAACATGTCAAGGTCCTTGCTATAATATTCTTTTATTATATATCGGTAGCATGTTACGTTACAACAGCTATTATTAATTTGGATTTTGCTGTTGTTACCAATTCTTTCTGAGGGTTATTCTTAGTATTGGAGTTGATACAGGTTTTCACATCAACATCGTCTGTCCCAAGTCTCACGTTGGTTACAGCCTCACATAAAGGTTCTATTCTTCACTGAAATCGTTCTTCTGAATTACAAATTTTTTTATACTAACTGGTTTCCATTCTTGTAGTGTTTCTCACGATTTGGAGAAGTTGTTTTCACTCTAACTCGGTTTTTTCGAGATGTAGGAACTCAGTGTCCTACTAAGGCGCCTTTGTTAGAAGCTAAAAAGGAGGGTCAGTGTCTTCTAGTACTACATTATGTTGGTTATGTCATGATTTTGTTTGTATGCGTGTGGTTTTGCCTCAATTTTTTGATTGTTGGCACTGAAATATTGTAAATTTGTTTCTTTAGAGCATGATGGGTATAGTTTATATCTGCTTTGTATGAATTAGCAGTTCAATTTGTTGTAAATCATATTTTTTTTTACAAGGATGGATGGGTGTTTTCTTTTTTATTAAAGCATAGTGAAGGTAACCAACCTCCTATGTAGGATGAGAAAATACGAATTGCTTACAATGTGATTTTGTGTATTGGATGATAAGAAGATACATGAATGGAGTTACATGATTAAATGGGCTTTGTCTTGTTCAAAATCAGCCAACTGTGGATAATACTGATATTGTTTGGTAACTCAGTCCATGAAGTTGTTTCCTTTTCTCAAATTCTCTCGTTCCTTTGTTATCTGAACACAGCATTTTAGTTTGAAGTCCTCAATCAATGCAAATTTAATTTCTTTCAAGTGTAGCTTCCCTTCTTTTATATATTTATTTTCAATCCTTTTTCTACTGAAATGAATTAACTAGACCATTGCTGATGCAGGAAATATAGGAGAAGTACCAGCATCAGAGCTGCACATGGAAAAACTTTTGTCACCTTTGGTAAGTCTTTGATCACGCATTGTAATGATGCTCATTTTTTTAATCATATAACTTTTGGCCCTTCAGCTTGATAATCTTTTTTCTTGCAGACTACACCAATGGCTCAAAATTTCTCTTTGAAAGCTTCATCTTTTCTTGATACTAAAAATGGCCGTGCATCATTCCTAGGAGAAATTGTGCCGGCCAATCGCTCATCTCTGTCTTTTGACAATTGCAAGACTGTACATTGTAAAAGTTCAAGTGATATTTCTGGCAAGGTTTTGCTTGGAAGGAAGACTCTTCTATCACCAGAATGTGAGAGGGATGATTTGGCTGATAGTTATCAACCAGGTGAAAAATCAAAGGATACACCAGTAGCACCTTGTTCTTCCAGGAAGCGTAAATTTGTGGCAGGAGAGTATGACTTAAAGCAATATTTTGGAAATTCTAATGAGCATTCATCATTGGGTACAAATTTTCTGAATCGTATAGCTCTCATTTCAATTTTTAGTTATGTTAACTATGGTAAATGAGTAGATTTATGATATTGCTAGTCAAAACGCTCAGGGGTTGTAGATCTAAGAGATAAAGATGGTGTGACCTCCACTGGTGTTGAATTGACTAGACAAAAAGCCCATCTTCCTGCTGATTCTGTGCCTTCTGCTGGTGATGAAACCCAAGGATCAGTATTCCTTGCTCAGGTAGAGTTGTTATTTTTTATACATAAATTGCATGTAGCCTCCGAAGCAGGGAATGCAATAAGTGGAAATTACTGGAAGTGGAACTAATTCTTTTTATGGTTAAAGCCAATATGCAAGAAAATCAAATAAATTGTAGTTATAAACATGAGCTATACGGACAATCAGATTTTGATCATAATTTTGCACAAGTGATCATAATTCTTACACAAATCAAACTCAATTTATATTTCCAATTTATTTGCTGTTGTACACATATTCATAAATTGTATTGTATAATGGGCTTTTAGGGCTGGTCCATTGTTCCTTATATAGGACTTTTTTGTGTAATAGAAACTTTAACACAGTAATAATATTTTTACCATCTTTCAAACTTTCACAGTACACATATTCTTGGGTCAGTTTACATTAAATTTTTATCATATTTGTCATAATTATTGTTATCAACCCTCAAGAACATGGTGTTGCAATTTGATGTTCCTTTATATTGATATTGATGACAAATTTAGTATGGATATTCTGTATAAATTGTGCCTTACAGGTTCGAGGTAAGCTCAGTGCTGCGGAATATATAGACTTCGTGGGTTGTATGAAGGCACTCAAGACCAAAGCAATGAAAATTAGCGAAGTTTTACAGTGCATTTCTAGATTGTTCTCTGGACCTGATAGGCTACCTCTAGTTAAAAGGTATTCAAAAAATTATAATATTTAAGCAACCTTTATGGTTTGAACTGTTGTCCTTGTTATATCATTCATCCCCAATCACTATGTCATTGAAAGTTCTTGATGTAGCATATATCCTTGAAATTGGTTGCAATTCATGTAGCGTTATTGTGAAGTGTAATTGTAATGCATGAGCCAAGCCAAAGTGTAAAATGGGGTATGTGAAAGAAAATGACTGATTCTTGCACTCTAGATTACCACCTAGACTACTTCCTTGCATGATCCCTTTTACTTGAACGAAATATATTTCAGATTTTGATCACATTGAAATTTCCGATGGTGAATCATCTCTTGACCTTCGTTATCTTGTTTAACAGGTTCAAAGATTACATCCCAGCAAAATATCATTCCTTGTATGAGCAATATGTTGAAGAAAAAACATTAATCACGTGAAGAGTTCTTGAAGGTGCCCTTCTTGTGACTATCGTGTGATAATTTGTCCAGTTAAAACTGGCTATCTCTTAAGTCTTAACATCTTTCTTGGATTGTTATTAAAGACTTGGAAAGGAATGAGTATTAGTACATGGCATAACAAGACTAGGAATGAGGAGACACATGAAGAACAAGATTAGGAATGAGGATATACATGAAAAATATATTAATTAGATTGGTATTTCTTCGCTCATTGTTTAATAGAGAAGATACTTTCAGAAGTGTTTGCTTCAGGAGTATTAACTTCGAACAGATTATTCATTGGATGCATGTATACTTCATAGCATTTAATGTGACAAACATGTTGAAATGAGGCTTGAGATTTGATGATGGCCTAGGTGGATCAACAGCAAATGATATATTTAGGAATCAATTCATCAAAAGAATGGTCAGTGAATTTTTTTTAGGGCCATAAAATTCAAGTCCCTTGGAATGGATCCCCATATCTCTCTCACTCACTCTCTCTCTCTCTCTCTCTCTCTCTCTCTCTATATATATATATATATGTGTGTGTGTGTGTGTGTGTGTGTGTGTGTGTTTTAGGTGTGGGGTCAAGTCTTCGTATCCAATTACTCAGTCTTTAAATGTTCACTCACAAGTGTAAGTTCTGTCTAGTCTGAAAAGCTTCTCATGTGTCCAAACTGCTCCAATGGTATCTAGAAAAGGTATCCTGATGTTACAATTAGGTCAACTTAGGCAAAAAACAATAAATGTTGTAATCAATGCATAACTTACCTCTTTACTTCAAACCACTATTTATAGATTCTGTGATGGTTTTTTTTTCTTTTATTAAAGTTGGCCTAATTACGGTCCAAATATGATTAGTTATGATTTAACCTTAAGTAAAACGGTATTGGAGTTAATATACTTTGGTCATGTTTAGATTGTATGGTTTGGTGATTGGCTGTTTGATATGTTGTCTGGCCATTGGTTTGTTGTTGGTTTGGTGATTGACTGGTTGATATGTTGTCTTGGTCATGTTTAGACCGTTCAGGTTGATGACTTGTTATCCGGTCTGTTAGTTGATCGCTCGGGTTGGTAATTGTTATCGGCTTGGTAGTTGACCATCTGGGTGATGGCTTGCCATCCAGTCATTAATTGAACGTTCGGATTGGTAATTGTTGTTAGCTTGGTAGTTGACCGTCTGGGTTGATAACTTGTAGTCTGGTTTGTTAATTGATCTCCCAAGTTGGTAATTGTCGCTTGCTTGATAGTTGACCTTTCGATTTGTGGTTAACCTGACAGTCATACAGTACAGTATAAGTACAATATATATTATCAAACACTACTCATAGTAACAGACTTTCTTGTAGTACCTTTCGAAGTTGTGCTTTGAGAGGAAATGAATTGTTTTTTTTATCATTAATTTTCTTTAGTCTTCATGGATTTGTTTGTACATAGGTCTACATGAAATTGGTGAATAGTGATTGAATACAATAATAATTTACTACGTCTTTTTATTTCTAATAATTACTAATGCAGATCGAGTTTGATTGTCAGAATATTTATTATGTTAAAAATGCATTTATGATTTGTCAAAATATTTATTATCTATATGTGGTGTTACTGTGACAACTTGCAAAGAGTTGAACTTCTCTTCAACCAAAGTGTGCATTATTTGATGCTCGGAAATCATATCTTAACTCATACAAGTATATATTCATTTACCTTAACTGTTATAAATATTCACTGCTTTTATTGATGAATATTTTCTATTGAAAAACTTAATTGGTTGAATAATCGATTTTTTTTCCTTCGGGACATATAAGTTGACACAATGCTTGAGTTAAAAATAGTTTAGTGCAATGCTAGCTACGATATATCTAAACACAATGATAGTTATTTTTTTGATAATATTGAGATGTTTGATAGTAATAATTTGTTTCAGTTCATGTTGCAATGACCTATTTGTTATCACTTATGAGTAATCATTTATGAAAACAACACTGAATGCTTTAAAGTGAGAGTTTTAGCAAATCTTGAAATGTCATGAATAATGATTGTTGTTCATTTATTTGACAGTTATTTTCAAATGTCAATGAATAAATAATAAAAAGGAACAACCTTTTATGTTCAAAAGTTTGTTTTTTGTTTGAAACATTCTCCCTTTTATCTATATAAAGACACTTTCAGTTTTTGTTTTTCTTTACCATTTTATTCTTTTTTTAGGATTTTATTTTATCTCTCAATTTAATTGTCCTCTTCATCTTAATATTCCAAGAACAATTAGGTATGTCATTCTTTCCTTTACCTTTTCTTTTTATCACATCTAGTTCATCTTGAGTTTAAATGATAAGACTTTTAAGTTATTCATGGTTGCCAGTGACGTCATACTTTATAAGAGAAGATTATAATAATGATGATAATATTGTGGTTTCAATATTCATCGAAAGTATTTTGGTAAGAAATGTCACGAGAGAAAATGTAGTACTTTTAGTATATAAGGTTGGGATGACCTTTTAATTTCTTTAAGGGTAAGAGAAAAACCTCATGCTGATCGTATTCTTGGTAGATGTTATGCACGTATAAAATTATATGATCTTAAAGGTCTATAAATTTGTCTTTATGTCACAGGCTTATATTTGCGCCTATGTAAAGTAGCGTTCATATATTGTGCATTGTTTTTTCAACTATCGTTTTGCATCTGACTATCACCATTTCCTAATTCTTGAGTTTATTAAGATAATACAAGTCATCTGAGTTTTCAGACATTGTTGGCTTATATACAAAGCGAAAAACTTCTTACGATAATAGCAGGGAACAAATGATAGACAATTTCACCAGCGAATCTCACTAAAAACCACAACTACAATGCTTAAGCGATAAGCAAGTGCACGCATTTTTATTAACAAAATACAAAGTATTTAATTATGGTACAACATGTGAAGCTTAGGGGAAAATTACACTTCAAAAAAACAGTTCAAAAATCAAACACATGATCTTCTTTAAATCTCGTCCGATGAAATATTTTAGGCATGCTTTTTCCAACAAGAGTTTTTCTTGATAAACTCTTGAGGCATAACTCCCACTGGACATAAATTTAACTGTTATTATTGCTTTAGGAATAAACTAAAATTGATGTTACAGAGAGGACCCAAATCCTAACGTTACGTTTTTGGTCACACTCCTAACAGTTCGAACGCTACGTGGCTTGTCGGAAGGTGGTTCAGAATTACTCCGACGGATGGCGGTGATGAGATCGACGAAAGCACCGAGGATGAACTTATGCGATTTTTTGTGGTTGAGATTAAGGTAAGAAAACAAGAGCTCCTCCATGAAATCCCAATCAACCACCCCTTCATGGTTGTTCACCATTTCTTGCATGGAACGTCTGAAATCGTCGTAAGGGCTGGTGGAGTGCGTCAAGAGAGCGATGCTATCATCCGGAAGCGCGTTATCCGCACTCTCCTTCTCGTAAGAACCGGAAGACGAAACGTCGTAGAGGGTTGAGACAGTTGACACCGATCCTACTTCGTCACTGGTTGCTGTATTAATGGTGGTGTTTGTGAGAGCGTCCTCCACCAGTGACCCAGAGAACTCAGGCTTCACAAAGAACAGGGTGGGCCCACGAACATCACGCGGCGATGTTGTTTCTACCGCTTCGTGGTTTTGGTCGTCACCTTCGAAGACCCTTTTGGTGTTTAAGGTTTCATCGTCGTCTTTGAGGTACAAAGACTTGAAATTCTCTAGGAGAAAACGATCAACATCTGCTAAGGTGGCTGCATCGTCCTTGCGGTGGTTATTGTTGTTGTTATTACGAACAACGTGTTCTTGATGATGATGACGACGACGACGAGAAAGTTCGTTTGTAGCACTGTACAAGGCAAAGGAAGGTGTCCTAGGATGTTTGCAACCAGACAGAATCCAGTTCTTAGAGGGTAATCGGATTTGAGGACGAGGGCTTTTGATTTTGAAGAGGTAATCTCGAATTTTCTTGGGCATGGTTCTTGTCGCTATAGCTAGTTGATGGAAATCAGAATCATACTTCATATAATGATAATGAACTATGAGTGAGATTGATGGAAGGGAATGTGTGTATAAATAAAAGGGACATGGGAAAGAGAGAAAGAGGGAAAGAGGGATGGATTAATTTATTCAATGCTATGCGTGACACCAAAATATACGTTCAAAATGTAGATTTATTAAATGAATTTGGTTAGGGGAGAATTTGGTGAAACGCATGGACTTAGAATCATGCCTCTTGCCAAATTCAATTGAAAAGTAGTATAATTTCTTGAACATAATCATCATCTTTTTACCACTTCTGACTTTGACATCCACAAACTATGGCGGACATCGTGTGTTGTTTAACTCTTTGTTTTCTACTTCGATACGTGCCAGAGAATGAGAGTATTGGTCAAAACAGCCATGATACTTCTTTTTGGAGTCAACGCACCACTAACTTAGAAATTTTGTCCCACATTATATAACTTCAGAAGATAAAGAAACTCACTAATTAGCATTGATGGTGAAGTTAGTATTGTAATAGGTAACGCTTATGTTTCTTTAACTTATTCTTCGTCAAAATTTGATGTTCTTGGTTCGAGTTGAAACTATATTAAATACAACAAACATCAACCTTAAATAAATGTTGAAGGATACACTGTTTTTGTTATCTGTAATTTTAAAAAGTAATTATCTTTTAAAGTCGAGTGTTAATACATGTGATGATTTTAAAATTTTAAGACAATACTAATTATTATTTTTCTAAATTATATCCTTATTCTGAAAAGGATAATATATAAGGTATTAAGGTCAAAGTAAAATATGAGAAAAATAAAAAGCACCAAGAAATTATGAATAAAATAAAATAGTGGTACTGTGATAACATAAATAAATGTTTATGATTTTTTATTAGTTTTTTTTATTCTGGTAAAGTATCTATGTTTATTTATAAAATTTAAGAATTGATTATAATTTTGATAAGTTTTTCGAGAGGATTTATTAGAAAGATTTATTGAGATATGAATATAAGGAATTGACGTTGTTTTTAATAATAATAATAATAAAATTAGTAAGACATAAGTTTATTTATATTTTTTCTTATGTGGTGTTAGTATGAGATATGTGATGTTTCTATATTTAAAGTGTGACTTATTCTCATGTTTAGATTTTTAATAATTTATTTCTTAAGTGTGATTCTCTTTTACATTGATAAATTCTTTTATATGTAGTGTAATTTATTATAATGGGACACACTTCTCTGAATTCTTTATTAATAAGACTTTTGATATGAGGAGCATATAATATCCGTTTGAGCGATCACCGAAATTAATTGACTGGTCTTTAAAAGGGGATTTATTGAGAGATTCAACACGAATGAAACATTAACATGATTTCCAACAAAACTCATAAGCTAATAATTTTTATGGATATTATTCTTTACATAATGTTCAATTTTTTCATTTCTACTTAATGTCTCCCTCGAGCTAATCACGAGTATCTCACTA